GGGCGGGGTATAAATAAATAAATAAATAAATAAATAAATAAATAAATAAATAAATAAATAAATAAATAAATAAATAAATAAATAAATAAATAAATAAAAAAGAAGACCAGCTCTCCTTATTCTATACAGCAATATCACTGTGGAATACAGTATCTAGGTATCTGTCCACTCATTGTATTTGATCTAGTCTCCTACCTTTTATGAAACCTTGTGCTAGGTAGAGTGAAGGTGCCTTTTTCTAACATAAGGCTTTCTGGTGGCAGGGGACAATTTTGGGCTCTCTCAGAGCAAATTTCTCTTCTGACAGGCATAAAAATACTGTAATACAGCAATATCACTGTGGAATACAGTATCTAGGTATCTGTCCACTCATTGTATTTGATCTAGTCTCCTACCTTTTATGAAACCTTGTGCTAGGTAGAGTGAAGGTGCCTTTTTCTAACATAAGGCTTTCTGGTGGCAGGGGACAATTTTGGGCTCTCTCAGAGCAAATTTCTCTTCTGACAGGCATAAAAATACTGTAAATTTCTCATTTTTTGCCACATAGTTGAATATAAAATTCAAAGTACCAAAGAAGAAGTGTGTAAAGCCTTGAATGCTTTCCTGTGAACATCACATGTATATTTTTTGTTTGTTTACATTAAAATCCAGTAGGCAAATATATCGAAGTATACAAAACAGCTGGTATTTTTACCCAATGGAAATGATGTGCCTACAAAATAGTAGTAGACTATGAGAATTAATGCGGGGTGATGGGGAGAGAGTCCTTGTCTATAAGGCTTTTAACCAGTGGCTGTTGTTGTTGTTGCTGTCCACTGTGTCCCTACCCTCCACAGTGAGAAAGTAAAGCTCCCCGGGAGATCAGTGGCATCGTTTGTACTTTTCTGGACTGGTGTCAAGCCCCTTGTCTCTCTTTTTGGTCTGCTAAGCTGCATCTCTGTGACAGGCCTCTACAGAGACACCTTTGTTCTGCTTTGAACGTCATCAGACCCGTTCCAGACAGCACCTGTTTCGGTGTCTTGACAGATTTCTCTCTAGAAGGTTGTTTGGGGACTCATTTGCCTATCTTCAGAGAGGCATTGGGTGATGCTCTGTGCAGTTCTGTGTCTGCTGCATTTAAAATACCAAATCTAATAGCTGTCACTGAATGTAAGGAGCAGTGTGGTTGCTGATTTCCTGTGTTTTTCTCTCCTTATTTATTAAATGAAGGGATTGGAAATGTTCAGGTCTGCCTAGCCCAGAGGTGGGGAAAGTGTGGTTCATGGGATATATCAGCCTCCAAGAGCACCCTGTGGTGGAAAAAAGGAGCTTTTTTAAAAATGCAAAAGGCACTCTGAAAGATTTCACGAAGGCCACTCCCAGCCCCCCCCCCTTTTTTGGTAAAAAAATAA